CTCGTGAAAATGGGCCCAAAACTTGTCACTGACCATAAAATTGTGGCAACAATAGCCCAACGTCGGTGTCGGACTGGTCGACATGAGATCTGAGGAACACTGGTTTGAAATCCGCCGGTGGGGTACCCACTCATAACACAAGCTTTAGCACGATGGGTAAATAACACTTTTTATTCGCAGCTTTCAAATGAATGCACGAGGTAAGAATTTTCTTTTATCGCATCATACGTTTGATGGCTTTGGCCATATTTCTTTTTGTCTAATCAGGATGATTTGATATTTGAGTCGATATCTCTCTCACTCCGATTTCGTAGAGAAGTGGACACGGAAGTAATCACAACTAAATGGACGTAGTTTAGCAAAAAGGATCCAACCCACAAAGTCGTTGAAAATGAGTGAAGTATACCAAAGTGGTCATTACGATCTATATTACCATATAGCAAAAAGTGTCAAATGTAACATGTTGTGGTTTGGATCCTTATTGCTAAACCGCGTCCGACTGTCCTTCTACGTTTGTCAGTATCCTTTATGTATTTAATAGTGACTAATTCTACTGAAAAGTTTTCCATTGTACACAGAACTGCAAAGAGTTTTTTCCGGTCAAATGAATGGAATTTTAATAAGAGTACCGTTAATTAAGGGGAGGATGCCTTGCCGGATCTCTTGCAGGGTGCGGCTTGCGATCTTCTAGGGATCCGTATGAGATAGATATCACATAAAGCGTTGGAATGTTTTGAAAAATTCAAACTCCAGAAACCAGCTTTGAGATCTTGTATTATACAAAATAAATAATTTAATTTATTATTATCATAAAGGGGCAAACTTATCATAGAGTTCCTGTATGAAAAACAGGGGACTATTTTTGTTTGTGTATCTTGTAGTGAACTGATATCGAATGAATTTTTACGATTTATTAGAGTAGAGTTAAGAGTGATTTTTTGTGTTAGTAAAGGGCCACTGATTGTAGTAAAATACTGAAATTAGTGCCAGAAATGTAATATACTGAACCCTCAACAAATTGTAGAATTTATACTTCACGAAGAGACTAGCCCAAGAAACCCGTCTTGCTAGGGTTGTCAAGCAACCACATTTTTCCCTGTCGGTTAATTTGTCTACGATGTCTGTCCGTTTTGCTTTGATATGCAATTAGCCATTAAAATGTTACGGTGATTAAAAGAAAGATGTTTCAATGCGAAATACCAGGAAAAAATGCTTAATTCCGCGTCCATTTAGTTGCCTTTGATGACAATAATTAATTTATAGAGGACAAAGGGATGTGTAGACCTACAATTTTCTTAATCAACTTCTGAATATAAGTACTTAAGCAGATTTATTGATAAATAATTTCAATTTATAGGTTATAGATATTTAAGTACCTAGCGTATTTTTGTATTATATTTGTAACTTGTCATGGGTTTAAATAAACAAATAATGTCAATTACTGCGATATATGAAATAAACAAATATATAAAAAAAATATACGATTGTGTTGGTGAATGTTACCAAAACAATCGGTAGGAGGAGAGTACACGGAGGCTCTGCCAGTCCTGGCTGGTGTACTGCCGGTCGACTTANTCACGAGGGGTAAATAACACTTTATAGTATATAATATACATTTTGACAAGTAGTAGAATTTTCTTTTATCGCATCATACGTCTGATGGCTTTGGCCATATTTCTTTTTGTCTAATCAGGATGATTTGCTATTATAGTCGATATCTCTCTCACTCCGATTTCGTAGAGAAGTGGACACGGAAGTAATCACAACTAAATGGACGTAGTTTAGCAAAAAGGATCCAACCCACAAAGTCGTTGAAAATGAGTGAAGTATTACCAAAGTGGTCATTACGATCTATATTACCATGTAGCAAAAAGTGTCGTAACGTGTTGTGGTTTGGATCCTTATTGCTAAACTGCGTCCGACTGTCCTTCTACGTTTGTCAGTATCCTTTATGTATTTAATAGTGACTGATTCTACTGAATATTTTTCCATTACACAGAGAACTGCAAAGAGTTTTTTCCGGTCAAATGAATGGAATTTTAATTAGAGTACCGTTAATTAAGGGGAGGATGCCTTGCCGGATCTCTCTTGCAGGGTGCGGCTTGCGATTTTCTAGGGATCCGTATGAGATAGATATCACATAAAGCGTTGGATATGTTTTGAAAAATTCAAACTCAAGAAATCAGCTTTGAGATCTTGTATTATGCAAAATAAATAATTTAATTTATTATTATCATAAAGGGGCAAACTTATCATAGAGTTCCTGTATGAAAAACAGGGGACTATTTTTGTTTGTGTATCTTGTAGTGAACTGATATCGAATGAATTTTTACGATTTATTAGAGTAGAGTTAAGAGTGATTTTTTGTGTTAGTAAAGGGCCACTGATTGTAGTAAAATACTGAAATTAGTGCCAGAAATGTAATATACTGAACAAAAGAAATTCCNTTTAATTTATTGTCCGTGGTGCAAAATCTTTTTCTTAAAGGTTTTTAAACCTTTGTTTGTCACCTGTCATCCGCTTTGCAATGGAGGGAAGTCGAACCTTAATTTCGAACTTCTCCTATTTTCTTCTGATTAATTTCGTTGCGGGTCCAATGACAGTTTAACTTTCCCCCGGGACAAACTTGACCTTCATTGGTTGGGTTTTTGTGGCGGTCAAGCTGTAGATCCTGGCTACACAGGAGTTGCAGTGGTGGGAACGAGAGGTGGGAATAGTCCCGTTACCAAAACAATCGTATATTTAATAAAAAAAATTGTCTGTTTTTCGGCAATAAAAAACTTTATGTCCTACAATAATTTGGGATGTGAATAAATCTGCGAGCCACTATCCCGGGACGAAAAACAGTATAGCCGACATTTAGTGCGGCCATTATACTAATGAGAGGCACTATCGCGATCTGACGATTAAACTAAAGTGACAAAAGAAATGTGAAAATAGCCAGAAATGTAGATATTACAAACGGCCAGTCAGAACAGAAAAAAGCTTCAATCATCGTTTTATATATCTTTAAACATATATTTTTTTAAATAATTTGAAAAATTCAACTGCCTATAGTGGGAATCGAATCAATGACCTTTCGCTTGCAACCTTAGGCAGTTCAATTTTTCAAGTTATTTTAAAAATTAGGTTTGAGAGGCGACTTTAAATGTCAGAATAATTTTATAAATAAGAAAGTCAGTCATTAATATTTGAGCTAAAAACGATAAAATATAGGCATAAAAAGTTTATTGCCGGTACTAAGAACTCGAGCGTTCCCGAGTATTTTATTATACTAAATTATTGCTTTCCCAAACATAATTTTCCTTAATTAATTCACCAAATTAATAAAACTTTAGGCAAACAATGTGTTTGTTTTCAGTACCCTCGAGCTTCGTATCTGCCGAACAGAAAAATAAGCCGAAAGTTTTCCAAAATTTCCGAACTTTGCCGTAACATATTTATGAAATACGTGTAATCTTAAAATATTCGTACGTTTTTTATTCCCAAGCCAACTGTTTACATTGCGAACTTAAAGCAACAAACAGAGGCCTGAAGACGAAAAAAAGAGAAAACAAGTTGTTTTTTCTACTAACATTATGCAGATTCGTCCTCCAGAATTACTTTTTTAAGCAATAAACGGAGTGGGACGTCGTATAAAAATCTTCGCCCAGAGGAATGGAGTAAAGCCGGGGTGGGGAACAAGTTAGAACAGGTAGACAAGTTTATAGTAGTTATTTAAGAATCTCTCTGACTTCATATAATTTTTCCGCAGCTTTTTTTTAGTTTCATTGCCTGTAGTAAGTAGGCACTACACACAGAAGAATAATTATGTATAAAGAATTACGAGTAAACATCACACATCAGTAGCACTAATACTTTTATTTTTTCAAGCCTCTGTACAACTACTCTTCACAATCTAACGCCCATTTCACAAACAATGCTTGCTTAAGAGAATAGAGCTCTGTGATTGGTTCGTGTGTGATCCTGTGCATCCACGCTCACTGTGAGACCTCATATTATTTTTTGTGAATACGGGCGTTAGGCTAGTAAGTTTCAATTGATGTGGACGTGCTATCCAATATTTGTAAAGCGTGAAGCGCAAATATCTAACACTGTAAGCTTAACCAAACTAGTAAGCGTAGAATTACACTTGAGAAGCGAGCTTAATCAAACGTTCACTAGAAACGTAGTAATTACACATTTGAGAAGCTAAAATTGACACGCCCGGTATAACACCAAGCTTGGCTAAGCTCAAATCGCTAGGAACCACGCCAAACAATTTCGACTGCTAACTAGACGGAATAACTCAGCAGAATTTCTTGCATCTGTACTCAGCTCCTTGCATTTACTTAATTTTAAATTGCGCGATAGCACAATATATTGAAACTGTATTCAATTGTACCTGCTATAAATAACTTTTCCTGACAACTCAGCCGTCATCAATAAAAAATAAACAGTGAACAGGAAAGTAGAATGTAGAAAGTACAGACCTAAAGTCAAATTCATGGCACACATGTTTCTTTAGGAAACTACATCCTGGGTCAATTTCCCAAACACATTTTTTGAGCGGCGTAGCTGAAAATCATATGTTTTTTATGACATAGAACTTTGCTTTTTTTTTACACTAAAATATACAGAGGTTCCATTTTGAGGACAACATTATTAATGAGTATTTTCTTTTACAAATTCGACAAAAAATAATTGAACTAAGCGTTTCTAATTTTGGTGCAGTGTCCACATCCTTAACTTCTTACAATATGTATTTTTTTAGCTGAAGATCAAAACAGAACTTAGGGAAAAAGTATATTTTNAATTGATTTTAAACTTGTACTCTCTTGCGGGTTTTGTCTCGGCGCGGATTTTAAACTACCGGCGGCGGCGGCGGCGCGCTGACTCCTTATGGCGGCGGCGCGCACGTCTAACTGCAACTTCTAGTGACATTTGAGTTGCATCTAAGTTTCTGCCATAGATTCCGTTGAGAGACCACACATGACGCGACTATTTCAAACCGGTTTCAAATGCGTTTCACCGTGTGTTCTGGACCTTAGAGTCGTTATTATGACAAAGAGGTCATTAACCTCATAACGTGCCCTTTATGAAACCGGTTTACTAAAATGTTTCCTCATTTGCAGGTGGCTTGGGCGCCCGGCCGCGGCGTAAAAGGCCGTGAATGGAAAGACTACTGGGAAGCGGATCTTGGCGTGTCCTATCTACCATGGAGCGCGCTTCAGGCCCGCTGGGCGCTTAACGCGCTGTCGTTAGATGCTTTGGAAGATGGCGGCGCTGTTGACGAAGACACGCTGCCTCAGTGGCTGCCACCAAGGGTGAGTGAGGTGTGTTCATTAGTAAGTAGGATAACGTGACCTTCAATGGATGGGTTTTTTTTATTGGCGGTCAAGCTGTAGATCCTGGCTACATAGGTGTTGCAGCGGTGGGAACTTGAGGTGAGAATGCCGTAGTAAGTAGGATGTGGAAGGACTACTAAGAAACGGACCTTGGCGTGTCCTATCTACCATGGAGCGCGCTTCAGGCCCGCTGGGCGCTTAACGCGCTGTCGTTAGATGCTTTGGAAGATGGCGGCGCTGTTGACGAAGACACGCTGCTTCAGTGGCTGCCACCAAGGGTGAGTGAGGTGTGTTCACTAGTAAGTAGAATAACTTTTCCCCGGGACAAACTTGACCTTCACTGGTTGGGTGTTTATTGGCGGTCAAGCTATAGATCATGGCTACATAGGTGTGGCAGCGGTGGGAACTTGAGGTGAGAATCCCGTAGTAAGTAGGATGTGGAAGGACTATTGGGAAGCGGACTTAGGCGTGTCCTATCTACCATGGAGCGCGCTGCAGGCCCGTTGGGCTCTCAATGCGTTATCCCTAGACGCGTTGGAAGACGGCGGCGCTGCTGATGAAGATACGTTGCCTCAGTGGCTGCCACCAAGGGTGAGTGAGGTGTGTTCATTAGGTAGGATATGGTAGGAGTAGACTTATGCCCGTTTTCACCATCAATCCCTAACTTCTAAGTGACTCCTATGAAAACAAAATGCCTGTTATGTTTTACCATACCACGCGCTGTCGTTAAGACGCGTTAGACATGGCGGCGCTGTTGATAAGGACACACTGCCGCAGTGGCTGCCACAAAGGGTAAGCGAATTGCAACTGTTGAGGTTCATTGCTGCCGTGAGGCGTATTAGTTCCAGTGCTGTGTGATTCCTATTGTAGGGTGTATGTGCTAAAGCCCGGTCTCCGAGCACGTAGAATTTTGTCCAATGACCCCAAGCTACCCATCTTTATCGCTCGCGCGTAATTTTGTTGCTGTCGCGCTCGCACACTCACTGCGAGCACCCGTCGCACAGTTGCGACAGCAATATAATTATGAAATTCTACGTGCTCGGCGACCAGACTATAGTAATGGAGATTATTGTTACCGTTTGACGAGTATTCCGTTGAGGGGCGTATCAATGCCCTACAATGCAGATTGGTAGTATGGATAGCTGCTGCCTGAGGGTGTGTCGTCACCTTAGCTGGACACCAAATATTACTTCACCTACAAGAGCATCGTAAATATGATCGCTATCTTATTGGAATGAGAAAAAACTACCACTTTCCAACCGGATCTTGTCTCTTTAATTTATGAAAGGGTGGGCAGGGAACTTACAGGGCAGACAGACAGCATCCCACTTAACTTCTCAGGTGCGATTGCGGTCCAATGGCTCGCATCAAATCAGTCAAAATGGTTCAAATCATTGTGGTCAAATCACTGCCTTGATATGCATAAAAAAAATTCGTCTACTTTTGCTGCAGATCCTCCCCAAAGCGATGATGGAGAACATGCCGATGATGCCGGCGGCGCCGGGCCTGCTGCCGGGCGCCATGCAGCCGCTGCCGGCGCCGCTGGGCGCTATACCGGCGCCCGCCATGCCGCCGCACAGCCTGCCCGCCGCGCTGCCGCTCGGGGTGCCGAGGATGCCGCCGCCCGGGTGAGTGTCGATGCCGGCGCCGCTTGCGTGGCCAAAGTCAGATGATACGCCACNTGCCGCCGCCCGGGTGAGTGTCGATGCCGGCGCCGCTTGCGTGACCAGTCAGATGAATGCCGCCGCCCGGGTGAGTGTCGATGCCGGCGCCGCTTGCGTGGCCAAAGTCAGATGAATGCCGCCGCCCGGGTGAGTGTCGATGCCGGCGCCGCTTGCGTGGCCAAAGTTCAATGAAACGCCACTACACATTCTCACGGACTGCGGACCTTTGATGCGCAAGGGGAGCTTACACCAGCCGGGCTAGGATGTGCGCCGTGATATACTGTTATCGACGTCAAAATGTATGGGCAAAATCGATAAAATGGCGTGATAACCGCTTATCGCAGCGCGCATCCTAGGCCTGCTGGGCAAACACATCCTAAGCCCAAAGGATGTAAAACATATCGTCCCCCAAAAGATACTGCACTACCTAATGAATGCAGGACTCGGATTTGAACTGTAAGGAAAATAGATCACAATAGATCGGTATTGGTCGTTGAACCGTCGTCGTTGCTACAATGCTCGAAGGACCACTTGAACCGTCGTCGTCGTGGCGGTTTAAGAAAAAGTCAAGGCTTCGTCGGACTGGTTTATTGTCTAAAACCAATATTAAATAAAATTCACAATTTCATGATAAAATTGCCGTCCATTGTTCGTCGACTGTCAAATGTCAAACAATGTAAAAGAAAAACGTCGTCTCGTTAATCTTCAGCCAGTCCTAGTCTATGTCTTTGACCATGCAGGCTGGACGCCGCGACAGTCGTATTAAACTTGGACTTCATAGAACCAGAATAGCAACTCAACGCAAAAAAAAACGCACGCAACGTATTCACCCCTCCCCGCCTCGTCTCGGTGGTTGAAAATCCAGTGCGAGCGAGACAGAAAACACTTGTCAGTCCGACTACGCAAAATGTCAGCGCATATACATACAAATCTTTGTTTGTATTGAGAGCCTCAACTCTCGGATTCCTTATTAAATTCGCTGGAACACTTCTTGACGCCGTTTACGTAGTTTCGAGAAATAAATACAAATTTTTAAGGACAGCTAAATTGTTTTTCTGTTTGGCAATGTTTTCCAATACTTTTTATTTAGGTATACATAGTATATTATAGTAGTGTAGTACGTAGTATGTAGTAACCCTGGTGCAAAGGCTCACAAATTTTTTTAAATTGTTTTTACCTGTGGGAACCTATAAGTGGTTTACTCGTTGCCTATCTTATGTCATTATTACACACTGTAAAACCCTGGTTTTCCTAAATAAATAAATAATAAATAATAATAAATGACACTCGTCGACACCGAACCGAATATATTTTTTTTAATATAAGTTTTACGGCTTTTGTGAACCGACTATTATTCGCTTAATGACGAGGCTTTTCTTTACACAAATGAATTATTGCCATCAAAACTACTATTACATTTGAAGTGACATTGTTTGATGATTATTGTTGTTCTCCCCGCAGTATGCCGGGGGGGCTGCCGCCGGGACTACCCCCAGGCCTGCCCGCCGGCATCCGGCCACCGGGCCTGCCCACCGGAGTGCCAGGTCAGTGATTATCATCTACTTTATTTTATTTATTTGCTAGCTTTCCGCCCGCGGCTTCGCCCGCGTNAGTTCTCCCCCCGGCGAAGCTCCCGGCGCCGCCTACTCCATCCTCAGCACGGCGAGCCGAGTCACGGGGCGTCGGAAGACGCCGCCCTTGGTCCGGATCTCCGCCACTCGTACTGCTCCGTCAGGCCCCGGCCAAACTCGCTCCACGACGCCTCGCGGCCACGTGTTTCGGGGTAGGGCGTGGTCCACAACGACCACAAGGTCGCCAGGGGCTAGTTGTCGCTGCTGGTTCTGCGATTGGCCGCGCGGTACCAGGGTAGGGAGGTACTCGCGCAACCATCTCCTCCAGAAGGCGTCGGCAAGCGCTTGCGTCGCGCGCCAAAGCCTCTTCTCGTCAGCGCTTGTCGGGCCCGTTAGGGGTAGACCCGATGATGTCCCCAACAGAAAGTGGTTAGGGGTGAGGGCCTCGGGATCTCGCGGATCAACCGAGACGTGGGTGAGTGGGCGAGAATTGACTGAATGCTCAGCCTCACTCAGCAATGTGGCGAGTACCTCTTCGCTCGGTACCCGCTCGCGCAGCGTGGCGGCCAATGCCACCTTGATGCTCCTGACCAGACGCTCCCACGCACCGCCCTGGTGCGGAGCGCCTGGTGGGATGAACTGCCATCGGACCCTCTGTGTGAGAGCCGCATCCTTCAGCTCCGGCAGCCACTCCTTGAACGCTGCTCGCAGTTCCTGGTCCGCGCCCCTGAAGTTGGTCCCATTGTCGGACCAGATCACTGCCGGCCATCCTCGTCGCGCCGCCATCCGGCGCAACGCCATGATTGCAGAGTCGGTGCTCAGGGAAGGTACCAACTCAATGTGCACTGCTCGCGTGGTGAGGCACGTGAAGAGTGCACCCCACCTCTTCTNGCCCGCGTGGAATTCTGTCTGTCACAGAAAAACTTTATCGCGCGCGTCCCTGTTTCAAAAACCGGGATAAAAACTATCCTATATCCTTTTCCGGGACTCAAACTATCTCTATGCCAAATTTCATCAAAATCGGTTCAGTGGTTTAGGCGTGAAAGAGAAACAGACAGAGTTGCTTTCGCATTTATAATATTAGTATAGATTTATTAGGTACACCAACAAAGTCACATACATTTTAAAAAGATCACCAACAAGATTATAGATAAGAACAATAACATTGCCTCAATGCCCAACACTGGATTGTGTGCCCATCGGATCTTACGTCCGTATTCACAAACATTACTATGAGGTCTCACNACTCTCACAGTGCACGCGGACGAACAGGTTGACACACGAACCAATCACAGAGCAACGCTGTGCGTTCGATTTGCTGATTTACATAAGCATCGTTTGTGAATACGGGCTTTAGACACATTTAATTTTGCTTTAGCAAGCTATGCATCTTAACATTTGTGTTATTTGAATGTTTTAATGTTTATGGAGTCTAATACTACCGCTCTCTCCAACTCCAAATCCTTTTATTCAAAACGTGTGTGTTAATTTTAGGTTCGTATCAATTTTTTTTTCTTTCTTAAGTTTCTGTGCCGCTATAAGGGCTATATTTCACCGGGACACCATGGCAGCGCAACCAGTCGCCGCTACCAACAAAATGTATACAGCTCTAAAGTCTGTTCGCCGAGAGTTGATAAATATTATGAAATGTCTTGCAATAGCGGCTGTCGCTTAATTATCGCATTCTGTATGGCGGGCGTCGCGGCGTCGTTTGTCACAACGCGCACTGAGTACCATGGTACGAGGCACGCAGTCGTCGTCAAGCGCCCCGGCCGGCGGGCCGCAATGTGTGAAACGGAATAGATTTATTTTACATAAGACCGAAATGAATGGTATGACAGTGGGTAGGGCTTTGCCCAACATTGGGATACACTATAAGCCACTTGATAATAATGAAATACTTTTTATCCAACACATGAACGCCACGTGTTTGATCCGTATCCCCACGTATGCCCTAACCGGAATAATTCCCGTAAATTTAAAAGAGATAATAATGATAATCTACCAACTTTTTCATTATATCGAGAAAAATAATTAGCGGGCCGCAATTTATAATGAGTTTAGAACCTCTGATATATTTTTTTATCAACTTTCGGCGAACAGACTTTATAGAGAGTTACTCACCTGGTATCCGTTTGGTTGCGCAAAGTTGGTAGCGGCGACTGGTTGCGCCGCCATGGTGTCCCGGTGAAATATAGCCCTAACATTAACATCACTGTGTACTCCACAGGGCTGCAAAACGAAGCGGGTCTGCCGCCCGCGGGCGCGGCCATGCTGCGCTTCCCGCCCGGCATGCCGCCGCAGTCCATGCCGCAGCCCGGTACGTGTTGTTGTATCCTATCGCTATGAAATTAGAGTTCATATTGCTTTGATTGATTTTGGTTTTACAAAAAAACTGGTCATATTTTTGGTGTTATATTGTTAACTAAAATAGCCGCAGTCCATGCCGCAGCCCGGTACGTGTTATGTATCCTATCGCTATGAAATTAGAGTTCATATTCCTTTGATTGATTTTGGTTTAACAAAAAAAACTGATCATATTTTTGGTATTATAATGATAACTAAAATAGCCGCAGTAGCCGTTACGTGTGCACTACCGTATCGCTATGATATTAGAGTTTATATTCCTTTGATTGATTTTGGTTTAACAAAAAAACTGGTCATATTTTTGGTGTTATATTGTTAACTAAAATAGCCGCAGTCCATGCCGCAGCCCGATACGTGTGCACTACCGTATCACTATAGCAATAGAGTTCATAATCCGAAACTAAGTTCTAGGTCAAGATAAATCTAGCCCAGTGCCGGATTAGCCACGTAGCAAGAGTAGCAAATGCTACGGGCCCCGCGAATTTGGGGGCCCCGCGCTCCAGCGCCGGTCTGACCGAAATAAAAAAAGATTAAGTTAGACAGTTTCAACGATGAATAAGTTAGAAACGGGAATAATGACAATACACAGTTTGATACCATACCCCAATAATTGGAAACCACATCTTTTTTAAAAAGACCCTTCATTCTGGTCTTAAACTTAATTAATTTTAAATTACCTGTAAATTACGATTTTTGTTCGCATTGTAATTGAAAAAGTAGTTAAATTGAGTTGACAAAATAGTGACGTCACTTGCTTGTAGTGCCATTAACTTTATGGTAGTGCCATACAAAATCTATGGGATAGTTTCGTTTTGACAGTTTTAAAAAGTACGTCAATTGACTGGTGGTGTCAACATGTCTATTCACAGATATGGATACATGCAGCATGTGTCAAAAATTGTATGAAGCCGAGCGTGCCACTTTTTAAACGTCATTAGTGTCATTTTAGAGAATTTTAGTGGTTGCCGCAACGTAAAAGTAATCGTATCATCGTACTGCATTCGCAAAGTCATCGAATGATATCGTGTGACTCGATTCAAAAATTAATTAATTCCGATAAAACTGATATTTTGTTAAATTTATAGCTAGTCTGACTGTGGATTAAAATAATTTTGTAGCGGTAGACGTTATTCTACAATTCTACATTATTAATTTGCAAATAATATTTTTGTTTATAAAAGTAATGATCGTTATTCCATTATGTTAAATAGTACTACTAGTAATTCATACTTAATTCCATACTTTTAAATATCCTAGAGTAAATGACCTAGTTTCATAAAATAAAGACTATTTTACTCAAGCTTTTTATTTTTAATAAATGTAAAAATGCGTAACTTTTTGCCAATACGTTTTCTTTCATAAAGCTAAGTCAGGTACCTAGTTTTGAAGATATTTCTAAACGACAAAATCCCGGGCGTCGTATACATAGACTAGTAATAGTGTATACTGCGATCACTGACCTAACTTCTTGATTTGTATATTTCGACGTTATACAGTGCACTCTGTCTTCCGCGATCACTGATCTAACTTGTTTTATAATTCTTCTACTGCTACTTTATTCTTATTAATTACATATTTGTTACTCGTTGCTGTTAATTACAATTCTCAATCCGTAAATAAATTCTTCTCTCTACCGTGTTCGTACTACTGTCCTCGTAAAATCCTCGTATCCGATTGTTGTAATCGGATTACATGAACATCACTCGACCATGTATGTCCATTTGGACATATCGGAATGGCACGCTTTGACTAGCAACTTGCTGTATCTACTCTAATCCATATCTGTGTGTCTATTACATGGAACGCATGCAAGCTTCGCTACTGCAGTGGCGAACGTTCTTTTTCAACATTAAAACGTATTAAAAACTAGCGGCCGCCCGCGACTTCGTACGCGTGGATCCCGTTTTACCCCCTTCATCTACGCGGTTTAGATTTTTTCATCTACGCGGTTTAGATTTTTTCCCGCTAACTCCCGTTCCCGTGGGAATGTTGCAATATCCTGTTGTAACTAAGCTTTAAGTTTCCTAAGGTACCTGTATGCCAAATTTCAAGCGTCTAACTTAAGCGGTTTAGATTTTTCATACAAAAGGATTTTCCCGCTAATTCCTATTCCCGTGGGAATTCCTAAGTATACTATAACCTGCCCAGGAGTATGAAGAATAATTGTGTCAAGTTTCGTTAAAATCCGTCGAGCAGTTTTTTTTTCTATAAGGAACATACAGACAGACAGACAAAAATTTTACTGATTGCATTTTTGGCATCAGTATCGATCACTGATCACCCCCTGATAGTTATTTTGAAAATATATTTCATGTACAGAATTGACCTCTCTACAGATTTATTATAAGTACGCACCTGGTACCGCACCCCACGCTAGCTTCGTGCAGCCAGTGTTGCCTCGCATTCGTAAGAAACGCACATGTCGACATGGCGTCAAGAGAAACAAACAAAATCAAAACTGCAGATTGATTATTATTTAATTTGCTACACGATTTATTGCTAATTTAAATAGTTTTTTGTGACAAATATTTGAAGTTGTAACTAAATGTTATTAAATAATATGTTTTCGTTAAATATAGCTTATTTAAGTATTTATGCACGTATGTCTTATTTGTAAAATATTTAGACTAAATTATTAAAACATCTTTGTTTGTTACTTTTTTAAATTTTTATTAAAACTTAATTAAAACTATCGATATTTGTATTTCACATCCCTAGAATACCCACCAGCCTTCCCTACTTCAGTGCGGCACAGGGTGCATAAGCCTTGTATTTTGGATATAGCTATAATTTTTATACTAAACAAGTTATTCACGAACGCCTTCAGGTGTATGTCAATAAATGCATTATTATTAATATCCATAGAAAAAAAACACAATATCTATTAACATGAAGCCAAAAATAAAATTAATATATCTTAAATATTACAAGGTCTTTAAGCCTTGTGCCGCCACAACGTAAGTTTTAATACCAGGTTTACCGACCTTGTACCGAAGGAATGGAAAGTATTAGAAAGTTACTGCCGCAGCAAAGGTGTTAAGCATTGTTAAAAACGGTTTCCGATCGTTCGACATCTTCCTACAAGAAGGGTCTTTTTTATGGGACAGGAGGCAACCGAGCAGAGGTCTGGGACGAGGGATGACCTTGACATTTGATATTGACGTTTTACACAATATTACGAGTATATTTGGGTCGGGCTGTCATGCATTGATAAGATATTATGTAGGTTTTTATGTCTCACTTTTGCATAATTCTCGCTCGTATTCACAAACATTGTGAGGTCTCACAGTGCGCGTGGACGCACAGGGTGATACACGAACCAATCACAAAGCTCTATTCAACGCTGTACATTCGATTTTCTGCTTCACTTACCTAAGCAAGCATCGTTTGTGAATACGGGTGTCAATACTTTGTACTCGTACCTATTTATTTGTATTTCTCTAGCTAGAAAGTCAAATTACTTAAAATGTCAGGTTCCATGTACCTAAGGATGTAAATAAAATTGGTGCTTATTTACTTAATTTAAGTTAATCATCATCAATCATTTCAGTCATAGGACGTCCACTGCTGAACATGGCTTATGAATCCCAGATTGGCTGGTTGCCTGCATCCAGCGCCTTCCTGCAACCTTTATGATCATCTGTCCACTGTGGGTGGACGTCACACGCTGCGCTTGCCCGTGACCTCCACAGAATTACTGGTCAAAATGGAACTTCAAACGGAATAACGGTCGCTCCCACGGTTCCTATATGACCTTGAAGGTGTCTTGTCCCAAAATAGATACGAGCAGGGGGCGAATATGGTAGCACATAACATAAATTTGCTTACATAGGGGTCACTTAAAAATTAGGGATTGATGGTGAAAACGGACATACCTAAGTCATAACTATTCTAGACAGAAGTCGACTGCGTAAAAAAGTGACATTAGATGTATGACGGATTGTTCAGCGCCCCTAGCGGAAACTTTCAAGAACCAAAATCTTCATATATTTTTTAACGCGCTTGCTACTGACGACGTTTGATGTAAAGTGGGCTCGGGCAACGCACATAGTTAAATATAGACAACGCTCAATTTTCTATTAATGAATGCATAATAATTATACACTCGGCATCAAATAAATCGCACCTCCCGCGACAAGCACTTATCAAACGTATGCATCCCCACTTCCCACCAACATTGGTACCATTTGAAAGCCTAGTTCTAAACTTCATTTCATTAAAGGAAAGGTTTTTACCCCAAAAATGTGTCTTTAGAAGGGTCCAGAGTCACATCTTCAAAAAATAGGTAGTTACGCTTTAGCCAATTTTTATGGCTAAGAAACTGTTAAGTTGGGATTAATCGCTATCCATCTGTTAAAGAGGGCACGTGAGATCATTATTTGGTTTTATAACGATAAAAATTGGTCTAATTGATCCCAGAGGTGAGCCCAAAGTGAGGTCTTTTTTCTAGTCACATTTATGGTATATGTTAACCATTTATTAAGAAATTAAATGTGTTTTTCTTTAAGGATATTTATTGGGCTTTCAAATAACACCAATATTGTTGGGGCTCCATGATTGTGTCAAAAGAAAATCTTTAAAGTTCGCGTCGCGGAAGGTGCGGTTTATTTGATGTTGAGTGTAGTTATTAATGTTTTTGCAAAATTACACGCATCCACGATTGATCCCATTACAAAAGCGGTACCTATCGCGATAGTTTTGTTTGGTGGTAGGGCTTGTTCTAAGTCCGCCTGGCTAGCTACCACCATCTTACCTAAGTCTGTCGCCATAACAACAATGTTAACAGCATTGTTGTGTTCCGTCAGTTAGAGGTAAGATAGCCAGTTCCTCCGTGGTTGAGGATTCCGGGTGAAGCTCGCTTCCACCTTCGGCCTGTTCGTCACTTACCATCAGGTGAGATACAGGCCAAGAGCTTCCTCGTTGTGGATAAAAAAAAAAAAAAAGTAATAATCCACTTTTCATGCATTTATAATTAGATAATTCGCCCTAAATTACTGCATAAAGCCACAACAGCTTTCTGTTTGGGCGAATAATGTAATAAATACAGTTTTGTAAGCTAGTTTTCATTTCACTAAATTTCCACTCTTCCCATACTAGATGTTGTAAAAGGCGACGAGTAATATGTCTCTCCAACCCGCCTTCTGACCACCGTGGGTAATGTAGGCCAAATTCTTCATATGCCCCTGGTAAATCACAGAGGGCCGTGCTCATGCAGTGGAGACTGGAGACTAAATGACCTGATCATGAGGAGGATGACCCTTTCAATGAAGAAAAAAAAAGACAGTGAAAGCAAGAGAACAGCTGATGATGATGATGATGATCCATCCGACCGATTTCGGCCATGGCGACCACTCCGACTCCTAGCTGTCTTGGCGGCGCTAGTAATAGTGTGCCCGAAGATGGCTTACATACCGAAGAGAACAGCTATGGCATTGCCTTCATT